CGGCAGCTGTTCAAGGTTATCTCATCTATAGAATACACTTTTTAAAATTGTTCTCAGAAAGTTGACCATGAAGCGTCTGGTAGTTCTGGGAGCAACAGGACCCTCGGGACAGGAAGTGGTCAAGCAGGCCCTCAGCGCTGGACATCACGTGACAGCGGTGGTCAGAAACCCTGACAAACTGGACAGTGTCCAAAATGAGAATCTAAAGGTAATATAATATAATATAATATAATATAATATAATATAATATAAGTTTCTTGTATGAAACTTATGGCAAGGAAAAAGCACATGAGTTCAATAATTTTAATAAAATATTCAAATCCTTCTCCTCTCTCTCTCTCATCCTCCCATCTCCCTCCATCCCTCCCTCTGCGACCTTAGGGCTACTTGGGGAAAATTGTTCTGAGATGTTCATAAAAGCGTTTATTTTCACCCCTAGGTTATTAAAGCAGACGTATTCTCAGCAAAAGACCTCTCGGAGCATTTTCGGGGGCATGAGGTGGTCATGTCGTGTTTGGGAAATAGAGACCGTGCGCCCGTTACTCTGTATACGGAGTCCATGAAAGCTATAGTTGCCGCGATGAGAGAGACAGGCCTCACCAGACTGATCTGTATAACGTCATGGTGCACAGAATGTGAGTCACACCTAAAGCAATTGTTGCGAAGAGAACGTGTCACACCTAACGCAATGTCAGCAGATTGTGTTTGCTTTCACAACTAACACACTTCCATTAAACTTCTTTGTTTCGGCAAGGTCTCGGATAGACCCATATGAGTCATATGTTAAACTAAGAAGTTGCTCATTCATTAAACAAAGATTAATTCAGTGTGTCACTTGAATTACTTCTGTAATAGTCTTCCTTTGCATCCAGCTTTCTTATTTTTGACTCACTGACAAATTTATCTCATACTGGTTAATAATAAAATTACCAGCTAAAAAGGGGATTCATAAAATAGTTTTTTTTTTCTCAATGGCTTTGGAAAGGGTTTGCATTGATGATTAAATGAATTTTGTTGAAGATTCCCAGAATGAGCACAGTCATTATTATTTTCCTACATAAATATCTATATAAAAGTGTATACGGTCACTGTGTTCCTTCAGTAATGCGTTAATTTATGGATATTTATGGATATTTGTGTTTTTCCAGCACGACCTGGCAACCCATGGCTGATAGAGTGGGTAATAAAACCTCTCTTTATTGGGAAAACTGTGGCCAATATGGCTGAAATGGAACATTACTTATTCGATACCTGCCAGGACATCAACTTTACCATAGTGAGGCCGCCTGGTCTCGGTACTGGACCAGTCTCAGGTAGGGAGGAAGTCTTGATGAGGTCTTGGCTGGCAGGAACCAGGGATAGAGGGTGTCATCTGTAGTACCCCCATCTGCCTTAAAATTTATATCCACCCCCTGTTCCCTATATAATGTACTGTAACTGAATGGTTTTCCTCAGCTAAACTAATTTTTTTATCCTTTTGCCCCCTTAGTAAAACCCTGGATCAGTTTGCTCTCCAATATTGCATCGTCATGAACTTCACATTTTTACCCCTTCTGTGGATGTTATAAATTCTGTTCCATTGGTTGGTTTTCTGTAAGCAGTTATGAGCCCATTGAGAACTGCAGACTAAGTGATCAAATATGCCAACCTACATGTACTACAGTTTACAAAGCTTGCTGCTTAATTCCCGATTAGACACTGAACAGATTCCCTGCGGAGATTACACAACAGGCATTCAAGTGGGTCGGCCATATTTGATCCGGGGGTCTGTTAGTCGGCTGTTCTGAATGTGCTCTGTGACTATAGAATTTCTACATTTCTGTACACATGCAGTACACAGCTGATGCAGCTTTTTGACTCCACTCATTCTCAGTTTTTGAATTAACAAGAGAAAATAACACCACTAAATTTAGACGGTATTTTTTTCAATTTTCAGATTCCCCCATTTTGACCCATGAAGGAATGCACGTGCCTGGTGCACCTGGAGGTAGGATGAACAGGGCAGATGTCGCGCGGTTTATGTTGTCACTGTTAGACACTTCAGAATGGGACCGAAAGGCTGTAGCAGTACAAACTGGACCAAAGAGATAAAACCCTGTCAGTGAAGAGGGTTATGATAAAAACTTAAAAATTTGACGATCTTGAAAATTTGTTGGAAGAGGATTCTGTGCTGATATGTATTTTTTTAACTTTGAAAATTTTGTCAAACTTGAAAATGGGCTTCTTGATAAATTTGAAAAGTTTGTCAAACAATATGGTAGTGTCGGATTCATCCATTTTAAAATATGAATTTTTAAGTGATGAAATTTTCAAGTTTTTACTGTATGTTATGTGCAAAGACAAGATTACTCAAGAGTTCTTCACAATGATGATATAGATTTCAGCAGGGGCAGTTATTCAAGAGGGAACGAAGTGATTTCCACCGTAACAAATAACACATCTCTTAATATTTTTTAAATCTTATTTTAGCAAAATATTTTGCCTCGGTGGAGGTTTGAACTGTGCAAGTGGTCTCTTAATTGTGATATTGAAAGAGAGGAGATAATAAGAGGTCATGTGAACTTCATTGATCTCACTATACTGTGACAGCCGCTAGTGAACAACAAAAATCAAATGATTTACTGGTCAGGAGAAAAAATTAGGACCTTTTTAAAAACAAATAATGTAAGATTTACATATTACATTAGTGATGTTAATCTCATGTACAATATAAACAGATTTTGTACACTATAAAACCTAAATTTGCTTTTCAATTCAAAACGGTTATTTTAACAACTTACTCTTAAAGCATTTTTGTCATGTGACATCTTATTAAAATGAAAACATGTACATGGATTTTGTGAAAGAGAGAGGGGGGTGCATTAGGAGAAATAAATTGACATCCAAATACAGTTGCTGACTAGCTTTATTATTTCGTTTTTTTAAATCACAGCTCAAGTTGATTGTACGACAGGATAAAAACACCAAGCTTTGTAAATCCTGACCATATATGTTAGTAAGTTGTAATACTGTATATACCTCAGCACAAACGCATGTTTCTTTCAAATTCACCAATTAAAGTGCAAAATAAGAATACTCTGAATGAGAACAATGAAAACAATTTGAACACAGTCATAACAAAGTGTCATCTGCAGTAAGATTTGCATACGGCATATCAGTATAACTGATAAACAGCTTTTGTTTTCATTGCAATTATTATAATACTTAAAAAATAAACTAAGACTTAATTTTTGGCAGGAGACCATTCTTCAAAACTGTCTCTGAGTTAGGGAAAGGATGTGCGTTATTTTTAAAAATATTGGCCACAGGTGGCAGCAAGAGCCAGTCGGCTCAAAGTTTTCCCCACATACTGTTGATAATATTTGGCAATGTCTGTCTGCAGATGACTGTAATGTCACGCAGTTATCACCTCTTGACAGACCCTTGTTCAGAAGACGTATGAAAATAAATATATATTATATGTATTTATATATATTAGCCTTCCTGTAAATCAAATTACCTTCACAAGCATTTTACAAAGGTATGGTTTTATAAGGATTCAGAATACCATTGGGATCAAATAATTTCTTCATTTTCACCATCATTTTGACAGCATTGGGCTCTTTGCTGTAACGTATGCAGTCCCTCTTCTTGAAGCCAAGTCCGTGTTCTGCGCTCACGCTGCCGCGAACCTGGGATGTCCACTCGTATATGTAGGGCTCTATGAGCCCAAGAACCTCTTTGTTGTATTCTGGAGTTGTGACGTTAAAATGAAGGTTGCCTGGAAGAATATTGATTTAAATAAATTTTAGTTTTCAGGAATTTGGACCTTTAAATTAAAAAAATAAAACATTTGTCACTGGATGATAAATTCTCTGAGATTGACAGGTTTCTTGAAATAGAATCAATTTATTTATTATTTGGAAGACAATGTTTACTTCATTATCCAGTTGTAAAATCACCATTTATGTACAGTATGTCCACATATGGTAGACCTAAATGTAGTGAACAATTCTTGCTATTTACTCTCAAAGTCAAGGACAACTATTTATTTTTCAAAATTAAAAACAAGTGTGTCAAACATGAAGATCGCTTACCATCTCCTAAATGACCGTATGAAACTACCCGTGTGACCTTTGACCCCAGCCTCTGTCTCATGTCTTCCACAATCTCGTAGAGCTTGGGCAGGGGAAGAGAGATGTCATATTTGTAGTTGTACCCATCATGCAGCAGACCTTCTGCGATACGCTCTCGTAAACCCCAGATATTCTGAAAATGGGACGTTCAAGCCTTAATTACTATGAGTTAATGGCATTTAGGTGATTTTTGGAGCTGCATTTGCATGCTTTTAAGAAGCTAATGGTTAAGGAATGTAGATGAAGCATTTTAGTGTACTGTTAATGGGCCTCCATTAAAAGTCACTCAATCCAAGCTTAACCTTTTTTTTTCTCATTAGTTTGTGTGTGTGTAGGGGAAGGGGGGGGGGGAGCTTTTCCTAAAAAGAGTGAGAATATATACAATAAAATCTTTCACATTAAGTCTTAAATTAGTTTTTGTTTGAAGAAAATATCATAGTTACTGAGTTATGATAGCTGTAGGATATTTATTTTTAATTTTAATATTCAAAGTGAGGTGTGATCCACTGACAGTTAAAAAAAAAAATAATAATAATAAAAAAAAAAAAACAAGACTAAAAGCTGACATATATTAAATAAGTTGTTTCTTTCAATGAAAAAGATGATGTCTGACATTTCAAAGCTGACCACAATTTAACAAAAAACAATCCCAGAATGCAGCTGGTTTGAAAAAAAGCCTCAATCAAGGAGTCACCTGTCTCTGTGTTACATCCATAGCTATCGTTCCGTCTTGCACAATCCCCTTCCCCATAGCAGCCTCCAAGAACGCATTCAATTTCTCCTCGTCATGGCTGCCATGGGAACCCGAGGTCTCGATCAGGATGTACAGTGGGTAAGACTTGATTGGATTGGTCAGTTTCAGATTTTCCTGGATACACTGCATAGATTCCTGGTCCATAAACTCACAGGCAGACAGGATCTCCGCCAGCATCCCTTTGCACAACTGAAACGTCTGCAGGGCAGCCTCAAAATTTTCAACACCTGAAGGGGTGAAAGGGACTTCTTTTAACAATGTTAAAATTAGTGTTGATGATCTAGTGTTTTATGTCTAAATAATCATAAAAATGAATTGTAGTTCATAAATGAATTTTTAAATCTTACAAAAAAGTGCAGGGATATTTGCTTCATACCCTGCACTTTAAAAACAACATTTTTTACATATCAATTACAATGTCACTACCTGCCAATATGAAAATGTATGTCACAGTAATAAAGTATGAACCCTTCAATAAATGAAATGACACATAAAATATGGACAAGTCCACTTAGTCAGTGAAACATCCACCTAAAAGTTACAAAAAAAATTACCTAGAAAAGCCACGTTAACAGCCTTTGGTCTCCGCGGACAGAGAATTGATACTGAGGTCACCATTCCCAGCGTTCCCTCAGAACCAATAAAAAGCTGCTTCAAATCGTAACCAGTGTTGTCTTTTCGCAGCGATGAGAGACAATCCACTATTTCCCCACTGGCTAAGACCTGTCGATGAAAACTAAAAGTGGAAACAAATTTGATGGGATGAAAGTGGGTCCAGCCTCTACGGCTGTAGCTTCATACTGGAGATGGTGACCAATAGTCTGCAATGTGAAGTCTGGAATATGAAGCATGCAATGTGAAGTCTGAAATGTGAAGCCTCCAATGGGAAAGCATGCAATGTGAAGCCTGCAATGTGAGCCTGCAGTGTGAAGCCTGCAAGGTGAAGCATGCAATGTGAAGTCTGCAATGTGAAGCATGCATTAGTAAGTCTGCAATGTCAAGCTTGGAAAGTGAAGTCTGCAATGTAAAGTCTGAAATGTGAAGCATGCAATGTGAAGTCTGCAATGTGAAGCATGCAATGTGAAGTCTGCAATGTGAAGCATGCAATGTGAAGTCTGAAATGTGAAGCATGCAATGTGAAGTCTGAAATGTGAAGCATGCAATGTGAAGCCTGCAATGTGAAGAAACAGACTCAGTGGTGGGCTGACATTCATACTGTCACATATACATTTATCTGTAGCCATGTACTTGTTAAATAAGTCAAAAACATTTTTTTTCATCTCCGTGACCTACATATTACATTTCACACACACACACATACACATGCACACACACACACACACATGCACACACACACACTCAACTTTCAGAGGTACCTATCATGTTAATTCTATTTTTACATTTTCAATGTTAAGATATCTTCATGAACTTATTCTTTTATTTTTATTCTCATCGGTTAACACATTGCCATGCTTACTGCTTCCACTCCCAGTACACTCCCATGAAGAGAGCCGTATCTTAGCAACCGTAAACCACCCGCATTGGTGGACACGTTGCCTCCAATATGGCAGCTTCCTTTGGCACCCAGGTCTAACGGCATCATGAGTTCACGCTCGGCCAGATAGTTGTCTAAGGTCTCCAGGATGCAGCCAGACTGGCAGACGACGATGCCTATAGGATACAATACACAATTACAGGAACAAGGCATATGAAGTATGACAGAAGAATTTTAGGTACCATTCCCATAACCCTATCGTACTAGCAGGAACAATCTATCTCTGAGGGGATTCTCGCTAAATTGAAGTCAGTTAAAGCGTGCACAACAGATAATTACCCCTTAGCAGCTTCATAAGGCATGGCAGACATTTAAGCTGCTTAAACTGAATGCAATCTAGTGAGAATCCCCTCAGAGTTAGATCGATCCTGCTAGCATAATAGGATTATGGGAACCCAGTCTTAGACTGTAAACTTTAAACACACTTGGCAGACAATGCAAGCAAACTGTGCTTAATCTAGATCTAAAAAAAAAAAAACAATGTATGCAGACATAGGTTTTGGGAAAGTGCTTTTTTTCTATAAAAAATAGTCACTATTTGAACAAAGTTACTCCTAAATAGCATACTGCTATATATAAAAATGGTAAAAGAGCAAGTGCTATTGTGTAACATGTCATTAGTATAATATAAACTGCCTTTTATTTACAATATTTCAACTATCATAGTATCTCTTCCTTACAACATAAAGTTTAATACACAAAGTTAAATATTGTCAATGAATGAAGTGAATGAATGAATGTACAACAGCAGTTACTGGTTAGGCAAACTATCATTTCTCACCAGAGACTTCATCTAGACTAATAATCTGGTTCATAAGCTGTGTAGAAATAACAATCTCGTCAAAGACCGGGACACTGCCGCCTACGAGTCCTGTATTTCCTCCCTGTGGAACAACCGCTAGATGGCGCTCATTGCAGTACTTCAATATCTCCGCTACTTCTGAGGTTGTTTTGGGTCTTAGAACCATCTGACTGTTACCTACAAAAATTTTAAAAAGACTGGTTACAACGAAGTAACATTTAAAAAGTGTTACAAGACAGGCGTGGACTGAAAAAAATGAGTACTATGGGGTACATGCTTGTGGTACTAATATGTATTGGCAATAAACGTAAATAAAAAGATTATTATGTGATGCTTTTTATATGGCGAACAAAATCATAAAACATTCACAAAAGCAAACCTAACAGTTTTTGTTATATGTGCTAATGTCAACAGTCTGGTCTACTGCTTTTGTGTGGTTATTTACTTATTTATTTACTCCCTTATATTAGGGTGAAAGTTTTTGTATTTCCTCTGGGTTTTTCAAAGTGAATACTTAATAAGCATCGGCCATAAACATGTATAAAACCTTATTATGTGATGTTTTTATATGGCGAACAAAACTGTAAAACATACACAATAGCAAACTAAACAGAGACAGTTTTTGTTATATGTGCTAATGTCAACAATTAAGTCCATTGCTTTTGTGCGGTTATTTGTATTTTTTATGCCTTTATATTAAGGTAATGTATTTTCTCTGCTAATCCAGTTTATATTACTTGCTGAAGTGTGTATTCTGATGTATGCATGTATGTTGCTTTGATTGTGAAAATGAAAAAATATTTTTAAAAAGTATTTTATAATAAATCAACTTTCATTTATCAGATATAATGTAAGAACCCAAGCTTGAGTCTTGCCCCTGCGGGTGTGTGTGTGTACATGTATGTGTGCATGTGCGTGTCTGTGTGTGTGCATGTGTGTATGTGCATGTGTGTGTGTGTATGTGTGTGTGTGTACATGTATAAGGAGGGGGTATTGATGGGTTGTAATGAAGGGGTGGGGGATGCAGGGGAGCAGTTGTGGTAAAAAAGCTCAATCTCTCACCTCTAACAGTCCTCATCCAGTCGATATTATACCCGTCCAGCTCACTGGGGTCTTGCAACACTCTCTGGGGCAGCAGCTTCTGGAAGAAGTCCACATCCTTCTCTGTCAGCGTGGCGTATTTCCCCCTCTGTACGTGGGGGTATCTCACAGACGTCAGCTCCAGCTCCCCCAGACGACAAGCTGAGCCGTGAAGTGACCGTCTTGACAGACAAACATGGTTGATAGATCGAGATATTTTCTCTCTCACCTCCCCAAACGACCTCAACCTCGTCAAGTTACGAAATTGCCGAGTGCACACTCGCTTCATTGCCGAGTCCTTTAAGCCTTAATGATTAAGTTAAAAACCATGTAGCCCCTCTTAAATGTCTGCTGCATTTCGGGTCACCTTCAGAGGACGGGTCTTATCTCGAGACACGTTTAAACAGCTCAAAGATAACAGCGAAGACATCACATCACCTCGGGAAGGACGGAGACATCTTGAATGCTACAGGTGAGATTTCGCCGGGTGTGCACAACACTTGTCTAAGCGCAATATATTATTTTCTCTACTTCTATGGTCTTACTATCTCCTGAGCTGCAGAGAAAACTTAAAACAGACCGCTATATACTATGACATACTCTTACCGTTTCNAGTGCACCACTAGCAAAGAATGACTGATTCACAAAAGCAAACCTAACAGTTTTTGTTATATGTGCTAATGCCAACAGTCTGGTCCACTGCTTTTGTGTGGTTATTTACTTATTTATTTACTCCCTTATATTAGGGTGAAAGTTATTGTATTTCCTCTGGGTTTTTCAAAGTGAATACTTAATAAGCATCGGACATAAACATGTATAAAACCTTATTATGTGATGTTTTTATATGGCAAACAAAACTGTAAAACATACACAATAGCAAACTAAACAGATACAGTTTTTGTTATATGTGCTAATGTCAACAGTTAAGTCCATTGCTTTTGTGCAGTTATTTGTATTTTTTATGGCCTTATATTAAAGGTAATAGGTATTGTATTTCCTCTGCTAATCCAGTTTGTTATTACTAGTACTTGCTGAGATCTGTATTCTGATGTTTGCATGTATACATGTTACTTTGATTGTGAAAAAAAAATATAAAAAAAAAGTATTTTATAATAAACCGAGACTTTCATTTTATCAGATATAATGGAAGAACCAAAGCCTATGAGTCTTGCCCCTGCGGGTGTGTGTGTGTGTGTGTACATGTGTGTATGTGCATGTGCATGTCTGTGTGTGTGCATGTGTGTATGTGCATGTGTGTGTGTGTGTATGTGTGTGTGTGTATGTGTGTGTGTGTACATGTATAAGAAGGGGGTATTGATGGGTTGTAATGAAGGGGTGGGGGATGCAGGGGAGCAGTTGTGGTAAAAAAGCTCAATCTCTCACCTCTAACAGTCCTCATCCAGTCGATATTATACCCGTCCAGCTCGCTGGGGTCTTGCAGCACTCTCTGCGGCAGCAGTTTCTGGAAGAAGTCCACATCCTTCTCTGTCAGCGTGGCGTATTTCCCCCTCTGTACGTGGGGGTATCTCACAGACGTCAGCTCCAGCTCCCCCAGACGACAAGCTGAGCCGTGAAATGACCGTCTTGACAGACAAACATGGTTGATAGATCGAGATATTTTCTCTCTCACCTCCCCAAACGACCTCAACCTCGTCAAGTTACGAAATTGCCGAGTGCACACTCGCTTCATTGCCGAGTCCTTTAAGCCTTAATGATTAAGTTAAAAACCATGTAGCCCCTCTTAAATGTCTGCTGCATTTCGGGTCACCTTCAGAGGACGGGTCTTATCTCGAGACACGTTTAAACAGCTCAAAGATAACAGCGAAGACATCACATCACCTCGGGAAGGACGGAGACATCTTGAATGCTACAGGTGAGATTTCGCCGGGTGTGCACAACACTTGTCTAAGCGCAATATATTATTTTCTCTACTTCTATGGTCTTACTATCTCCTGAGCTGCAGAGAAAACTTAAAACAGACCGCTATATACTATGACATACTCTTACCGTTTATATTTATTTCTACCAATATGGTGTAGCCAATAAATATACATAAAAGAAGCGAGGAACCAACATTACACTTGAAATCAAGATATAGGAATGATAGGACTTATAAATGCGTACGCCATTCCTCTACCAAAGCAAATTAGGCCTACTATACCGGAACATCTAGAATGAACAGAAATACATGTAAGTTAGCTAGTTTTCCTGTGAAGTACGGTGTAGATGGGTGGAAAATGACCCTTGGCTTGGTAGAGAGGCCCATAGGCAGGGGCAAATACAGGATTATTTAATTCAAGGGGGGGGGGGAGGTCTGCGGATGCCCTTGGCGTGTGGTTAGGGGGCGCTGAAGAGCCACAATGACACCCCCATAAATCCGCCACTGCATAGGGTATTATTGTTATCCGCGAAAGTGTGATTTGTGAAGCACGCCATTCCCGTGATTCGTGGATGTCGCTGTTTCCCCGTCTTTCGTGAAAGTCATTACATGTCCTGTGATTCGTGATTTTCAAGATTTTTCATTATCAGGCCCTCCTATTATGTGTGAATTGACAACGCTAGACCAAGCATTCCCTCAATTTATGTTTCTGAAGTCGCTTTCAATGGCCAATTGGTTAGAAAAATATTTTCCTTCTGTTTCATGGCAAATATATGTAGGTTTTTATTATATAACTTGGCTTAAAATTAACGCTACGTGGTATTACTACGTCAAGTAATTCCTGATCACTGGAACGAGCAACAAAGAAATGACGAAATATGCCGCTTCCTATGGTTATAAGAAGATTGTGTGCTTGTTTGTTTCAAGATGCATGCGTACAATAGCTGTGGGATTAAAATGTGCGTGACGAACACATGTTATCCCTAAGTAAGCACTGAGCTTCTGTTATCAAATACAAATAAAGAAACGAAATATAATTTTATATTAGGGCCTATACATAAAATACGTTTGTTTGAAACTCCAGCTAACGTAATAAGTGCGTTATAGGCCTATAACTGTAGAGGCAAGGTCACACCAAATTTCGCTGTTCTTCAACAATCACGGAGGAATTCAAAACTTCCAACAACTGCTACACTATAGCGTGCTCTTGCTATTTCAGTCTTATTTCCACCGATATGGTGTAGCCGATAAATAAACATAAAGGAGGCAAAAGGTCCATGCGAAGAGCCGGAGTATTTTTAAGAGGCACACAGCTCATTACGATTGACACTAATCGTGAACCCCCCAAATTTGAAAAGGACCAATTCAGCAAGTAAGATTTATATAGATAAAGTTTTTCATCATATAGTGAACTTACAATCAGTCTTAACTGTTTATTCTCTGGCGTTGAGCGGAATTTATTAATACAGAAAAGCTGTGAGTACGTTGATAACAAAAGGAGACTAGTCTGTTAATCTGATTGCGTCCTAAGAGAGTCCCCGTGGAGTTTGTGCGCAGTAGCTAGCTAGGCCGATAAAATCATCCACAGAGATGTGAATGCATACAGTGGCCGTTAAACCCTACAGGGGCGGTTCCGAGGGGGGGGGGGGGGGGGGGCAAGAAGCCTGTCATTATTTTTCTGGAAAATGGATCATTTGACGTGCTTCTACTAATTTGAATTAGTTATAATCATGAATAACAACTGCGCCATATACAGAGTGAATAAATATGGTTATTTTATAGCTATTTTTTAAATCTTTTTTTTTCTTTACGCTTTCATGATTTTCAGTCGATAGGATTAAGGTCTAATTTCTCCACTGCGACTCAATTTCATAGCATTTGAAGGCTTTGGATTTGCTTGCAGGCCTTAAAAAACCTATATATTAGTGAATGCTAGGATCGAATAAATTGAACAATTGTTACGTACGATAGATAGACAGGAAATTTGTCAACTTTCCCGGAAAACCGATCCCTTGCTGACCCTAGCTATACATGTGACTCTCTAACAATGCACACACTATCTCAAACCATGACACAAAAGAAAATTAGATTAGATAAGTGCAAGATTTACCAGTGTTAAAGAGACATGTCCATATACAACGTGAAATAGTCAAATTAATTTCGAAATACGGATAGGCCTATTAACACACACACACACACACACACACACACACACACACAAAAAAAAAAAAGAAAAAAAACAGGGATATTTATTGTATCTCATGTGACAGCATGTACCGGTATTTACAAAATTGTACATATACATTACATATAGATTTATGAAAAATATGACAGTAATCTACAACACTAACGATGATGACAATATATTGTTAACCTGACTTAAATTCGAAATAAGTGCAAAAATGAAAAGTGAATTTACTCAAGAAGTAAGCACTACACTGTAGACCAACTAAAGGGTGCTTTCCTAGAGGTTTAGATCGATCTAAAGATTAAGTTTTAGATCGACCTAACTCCCTGGGGGTTCACGCTAAATTGCAGTCAGCCGAGCGGGCACCATAGTTAATTACCCCCTTACAGCTTTTAGTAGGCGGGACAGACTCTTAAGCCGGCCAATCTGACAGTAATCTAGTGAGACTCCCCACAGGGATAGATCGATCTAAAAATCTATGGAAATGGGATGATAGACTAGGTACGCCTACAAGAGTGTGTGCAAATGAGAGAGAGAGAGAGAGAGAGAGAGAGAGATCTCACACAGACAGACTTACACTTGTTGATCTTAGTGAAAAATTATAATCTTGTCTAGAAGAAGGCACTTACATATATGCAATTTCAGTTTTTTTAGTTTTATATTCAGTTGCCCTGTGTTAATTGAAGCATCTTTGTAGCAAAATTGGAAGAATTTGCTCTGCTCGCATAATTTGTTAATTGAATCTTCAGTCTTTTCTATAATGGATACAGCTGCTGCCGCTACCACCCTACACTGTTTACAAATTATCGTTAAACAGAGTATTTGTGGCTTTAATTTTTCTATTGCAAGGGATATCGTAAATGGTTTTCTGTTGACATTTGCTAAAACGTTTATTCATCATTATCGTTTTTTTTCTGTGTATAACAAACAATTGACTGTTATCCCCCAAAAATAATACACGACATCGCCGTCTTGCTTATGCTCGCCATGCTGCTGTTTATCCAAGATTAATGGCTTATTTAGCAAGGTATATATATTTATATGTAATTTTCTCCTTGTTAATTCCTCAGTGCCTACTATCAGACCTATAATGATGGCCATGGAATAGCTAACATGGGTAAACACTACTTGTGTGCTTCAAGTAGCTGCTATTCGATCTCACCTACCTAATAATAAGTTCGTGATCAACTTGTTAGACGTCAAGGCATCGAAGGGACTACTGTAGTTAAATGACCGGGAAATCGCGATGAGCTTTTAATTTATTGAGGTTGGAAAGTGATGTGTGTTATTTTTTAGCCATGTAGGAGAACTAAAACCACGAATATATAAAAACTAAATTCTGGAACTTCTTCGTTAAATATACAACGACGAACTGCCGTGGAGATCACCTCATTTAGTGTCATAGGGCTAGCGTAGTTTTCAGCGCTTTTCACCACCATAAACCATTACACATTGTCTTGATGTTTGCTCCGATTATCGACAAAACATTCAAATAACATTTGATATTTTTACCTCCAAACCACCTTACATTATCTGGAAGATTACGGAGCAGATATTTTAGATAGATTAATGCTATGAACAATACACAATCATGTTTCATTACATATTTGTATCTGGTTACCGCGAATCTTAAGTCACAGTATATATCTACCCTATACCCATATACACGTTTCCCCGAATTTTATAATAATGATAACAACGTAAAGGTATAAAATAACATATAATATCACGTAGAAAGTCTTACTTGTTATAATGATTCAAGTATTAAACTTTTCAATTTCTACACTAAAAAATAGAGCTATACCTGACAGAGCTTTCGATCAAATCCTACGACTACACAGATGAATTTCCATCAGGATTACTTGTTATAATGTGTAATTATTATTATCATCTATGACAGATCCTAATGTGTATATATGAATGTGTGTGTGTGTGTGTGGGGGGGGGGGGGGGGGGGGGGGGGGGTCCCTTCCTACTGTAAGCTTCCGCGGTCCCCCTTTTCCTTTTAAGGTAACGTGACTGTGCGTTATCTTTTGGCATCTGTATTATTTAATACATGTACGTGTAGCAAAAGGTGCACATATATCATACAATAAATATTCGCCGATGATCATACACATCTGTGTGTATAGAAATGATATATTCTGTCCATCTCACTATTGTGCATTCATCAATATATCATGTATTTTACATTGTTAAATCATAGCCATTGTACCAAATGTGCTAGCATCAATAATGGATTAATAGAAATAATAATACTATTATATAAAGCTCTTCCTTTTGACGAATTTCCTTCCCCATATTCACAATGATTGATTCTTGGTTGGTCACCTTTTTAAAGGGATAGCAACTGTTCACAAAGAAAAAGAAAAGGGATTTTCATGGGCTAAACGACCAATTTCCCATACTTACCATTCCGACATGAAAGTTAGTCCCTGACTTTTTTAAATAGTTTTTTTAATAGATTTTTACAGAGGATAGCCATCTGTGGAGGTCACATGGACCGATGTCAAGAACAAATTCCAGAACAATTTCGAGGATTTCAATAACCGCCATTTGAGTGGTGACATAGAGCTAATGATATTTCTAAGAGTTGTTACAATGTAATAATTGTGTTACAATGTAATAATTGTGAAATATGGAATCCACACGATGAATTGTTACCACTTTAACATGTAATTAAGTAAAACGTTGCACTCCTCGCTTGCGGGAATGATCGAGTAGTGTAAATTAAGAGGAGTTTATTAGTGATGATAGACAATTAAACAAATCTGCAAGTGATAAGCGCGACCATATTCATGTCTATA